TATATATATATATAAAATATATATATATATTTAAAATATACATATATTACAAATTACAAATTCATTACAAATTTCGAGTTCAGCTAGACTAAATAATAATTATTGTCGATCCTAATAAAAAGTATATATATATACTTTAAAGGATTGAAGACTCTGCCCCGCGTCAATTTTCGTATTACGAAGAGTTTTCCATTATTTATTCCGAACTCTAGCCGAATTCCCATGACTATATTGAAAATAATACTTCTTCTACTGTCGTACACGTGATTTCAGGGCCGCATCTGGAGTGCAAACACTGGCAGTGTCTCCGAGCCAAACACAAATTTATCGATAGGCATCGAGACGGGCAGGGTTGAAGGGCCGAGTGCTCGAGTCGCCCGGACAAGTCGGGATTCCTTAAATAGCTGTGGCACCAGCTCAGAACGATCGGCTGCATTGGACCCGGAGTACCAAGCTCATTCCCATAGCCATGGGCAATTGAGTGGACAGTCGCAGCGACATAATCATGGACATAGTAAGCCACATATTAAGAGGCCAATGAATGCGTTTATGGTCTGGGCCAAGGATGAGAGGCGTAAAATATTGAAAGCTTGTCCAGACATGCACAATTCGAATATTTCAAAAATTTTGGGCGCTCGCTGGAAAGCGATGTCGAACGCTGACAAGCAGCCCTACTACGAGGAGCAATCACGTCTATCCAAGCTGCACATGGAACAACATCCCGACTATCGCTATCGTCCACGTCCTAAACGCACTTGCATTGTCGATGGCAAAAAGATGCGCATATCTGAATATAAAGTTCTGATGCGCAACCGACGTGCGGAAATGCGACAACTTTGGTGTAGAGGTGGCGGACCAGGTGGTCCAATAGGTTCCAGCTCTAATGGTCATAGCCAGGATGGCGGCTCCGCCGTGCAAGCAGCAGCAGCAGTAGCTGCTGCCGCCTACCACCTGCAGGAGATGAGTCAAGCAATTGTCGACGATTGTGAAACGCCACCGCCGCCAACTCAGCTATTGGATTCTGGACCCATAGCGAGCAGCAGTAGCAATTATTATTATCCACCAGAAAGCTTATCGCCATCGGGATTCTCTTCCGAGGACATGGAAATCTCATCATTGCGTGATGACGACTAAGAAACAAAACGTATGACGTTCATATACGTATACATACATACATACATATATATAGAGACATACGCGGATTCTAATAGATTGTACTTTTTTCTTGTAAATACATAAAAATAAACTTGAATCATTGTATAGGCCATTAAGTTTTAGTTCAAGTGCCATTACACACATACACACAGACGTATATATATATATATATATATTATATATATATTGATTGAGTGTTTTGTAGTCGACGAGAATAGTTCACTCCAATTTTTGTGCCATTTATGCACCAATGCCATAGCAAAATATTCATATACATACTCAGTAATTAGGTAGATATTTGGCTGACTAGGATGTTCCGTACCCGTCTCCATATTAACATATGTATGTATTTATATTCTTATATATATTTATTATGTGCACGAATCAAGGAAAAATAAAATACATGTAATTGTAATGTATGTATGTATATATAACGAAGCAGTTTGTATACACACACACATAAAATTAAATTGATGTATGAATGTTAGTTTATATACATTTCATCGTATTCCTTTAAACTTTAAATGCGTAAGAGCTGAAAATCAACATCGCTTAGATCTATAAATTGGGTTTTGGGTATAGGAAACTTATGACACTGCATTGTTTTTAAGCAAACACTTATATTACATACATACATATGTACATATGTATACAATGTATACTTATGCACACAGTCACATATGTATAAATATCTGTCTTATGAATCTTACAAATCATGTAAATAAATTAAAGCAAGTGCGAACGGTAAAAATACGTAAATATCTATCTAAATAAAATGTAAGTATTCTTTAATTATGATTATTATTAATTCAATGAATCTTATTATAAATACAGATCTATATAAAATACGGTTGTGATTAGTTTTTATACTTTTTCGGCTTACACTGTATGTATGTATACAAATAGATAGTTCCGAATTCTATCAAAATATAAAAAATAATACAGTGTCATAAGTCTAGCTCATGATGCATGAATGCCTATCTAACAAATTGCCAGCTCATATGTTAAAAGGAAGTCTCTAAAGCGCTTTCCTCGGTTTAAAATTTTGCTTATTGTAATACAAATAATTCTCCCAGTAGTATTATTTAGGGTGTAGGAGTATATACTTTATCGAAGTCGTCATCTATTGCTTTTTTCTTTGGACCCTCTTTTATAGCGCTCGAGTTTTCTTTTAAGCACACGAAAAAAAATATTTTCATATATATAAAAGTATGAAAGTATGACACAGACGAGCTGAGTCGATATAGCCCTGTCCGATCTCATACAATTTTATATGAATACTCATGTATACCATCCGCAGTACGAGTCTATCATACTTTCCTGATCATACTTGACGGAGTCCGCCTCGCATCCTTTTGCCTGTTACATACATAACACGTATATTCAAGAAAACCATTATACTCTGATATCCCATTTTAAATGTGTAACAGTTTGAAAACTCTAGTCGAAACTGCTCGACTAGAAGATACCCTGAATCGTCCAAGCTGGTATTCTAATCATTCTGCACTTCTTTTATGGATGGTATAGGCACACGCTCTATTAACTGAACATTAAGCAGCTGTGCTTGGCATGCAGTGTAAGCGAAATTATGAAAGCTTATTTGTTGGATAATTTCTCTTGTAGCAAGATTTAGAACGTGACCATAATTTTTAAATGTGAATACATTTAAAAACACAAGCCTCTTCTTTAAAAAGGGGGCGTCGTATCCCAAATCTGTAAATTACAAAATCTTCGTATTCATCAATGATATACATATACAGTAAATCTGAAGGCTGAAAAATCAATATCAATGTATGAAATTTTATCGATAAAAAAGAAATCAGATGAAATCGAAAAAATATGATAAACTCGTACTGCGTAAGGTATACACGAGTATGCTTGCAAAATTTTAGCTTTCCAGCTCTTATATCTTCTGAGATCTCGGCGATGTTTGCTTCTGTCTCTTACATATGTACATGCCTTTCACTGTGAATATACATATTACAGATTTTGTATACCACGCCTCATTTCGCCACAAATTTGTAAAAAACTTGTTTTAAGTATTAGAACCTTGTGCTTTGGAATGTACACATATTTTCACCATAAAATCATTAAGATTGTATGTCTACAAAATAAATTATTCAACAAATAAATTCTCATAATATTGCCTACACTACAGCGCAGCCCATTCACAGTCACTGCTAACTGCGCAGTTAGCAGAACGCGGGCTTATGTGTGCGTGTGGGTGCAGGTGTATCTATATGTGCATAAAACCAGTGCAAAACAAGTAAGAAAACTCTAGTCGAGAGCGCTCGACTAGATACTACCCTGAACC